ATAAACCACATTATAAAACATTTTTGATAAAAAAAGCGCACTTAATATATAGTAAATAATAACAATAATATAATTCTTTATGGAATCAATAGGTCATACTCCTTTATTAATCCCAGATTTAGTACGAGTGAGTGAGTCGGTTCTTTGCGGAGAAAATAATAAATTATAAAGCAAAAACGATACGTAACAATTATCTACTATTTGGATATTTACGGCAACGTGCACATGACACCTTTTGTTTTGCAAGCTTTCATAGGCTATATCCTTCTCCATCGTTATAGAACGTGTATACCATATTTCACAATGATTAGTAAGTCATTAAAGCGCTAAAATGTAAGAAACAAACTCACTTTCACATGTATAATATTAGTAAGGATTAATAGTATAAATAAATAATTGACATCATTATCAGTAACAAAACAACACAAAATCAAATTTAAATAACAGTATTATTTTGTTGAAGCATTACAAAGGTATCGTAAAACGTAAACGTAACGTAAAACGTGCTCTAATCCTATAGGATTTATAAATTTACCGACAAAAAGATGATGTTACGTCATTTGTAATTTTGTATTCAGAATGTAGATAGAGATAATCTTACCAGATACAAAAATACGTTTCAATCCAGATTATTTAACTCAAAGGAATATTAAAGTCAACTCTGAAGTCCTATTCTATAAATCGATATAGTTAGTACTTCTATATCATTGCAACAAAAACATTTTGTACTCCAAAAATAATAGTAACATTATTTTTTTTACGATATTTTTATTGGCAAATTAATTCGACTGACATAAAGTGATAATCGTTATCTTTAAACTAATTCTCTTATTCATAAAAATTAAAACTACCTATTTTAACTACAAGAGTATTTTGTCACTTTTTTAGAATTGGAAAGTTAGTACAAAAGAAAGAGACAAAACAGTTCAAAAGGAAAAAGACAATTGATGTTTTCATTAATAAGGGAAATAGACAATATCATGGACATTTTTTTGTTATAACATATGAGCCATCGAGCATGCGGCTCGTCTGATGGTCTCCATGAGCAACATAGGAATCATTGCGTGTGTACTGCTGACCTTTTAAAAAATATTAGACTCTTTTCTTTAAGGTATGTATATACTGTAATACTTATCAAACGTTACCATTTGAATGAAATTTGATACACAGGTAGGTTATATCGTAACTTAGTACATATGATATTTTATAATTCACGCAGGCAGAGCCGCGATATACAGATAGTTAATAATATAAAAGCGTAGTAAAATTTTCAACTACTACTAAAATTTCATTCCAACCATCTGGACGAGTGGCGGTCCTCCACCGTGCGTTTTTCAAGGCACTTTTTTCCACGCACAACCACTCTTTGGAATCAACTTCCAGCAGCAGTATTTCCGAACCGATACGACAACATAACCTTCAAGAAAAGAGCATATTCCTTTTTAAAAGGCCGGCAGCACACCTGCAATGCTGTTAGTATTGTGGATGGTCATGGGCGGCAGTAGTCACTTACCACCAGGTGAGCCGCATGCTCATTTGCCCCCTGTGTTGTAAAAAAAAAAATATTTACCTTGTTTAGCCATATCGCACCATCGCAAACTTTGAAGTAGGTTTTACACAAATTTGTTGGCAACTTAATTCATAAATCTTCAGAATAGATTTCACTGTGATATTAAATTTAAGGTTGGGACAAAATTCGAAGAATCGGTCACAGTTTCTCTTCATTATATTTTTATCAATCGTGACAAAGTTCGATAAAAAGTCTTTAATGAAGATAAAATTTATGACCGGAAGAGGTCGCCCTCTGAAGCATCCGGTGATAGCCAGATGTCGCCCATTACAAGTGTGAATTTTCATTTTAACTATATTTGTATGGAGTTTTCGAATTCCACTATTTTCAATCGACTTCAAAAATAACGAGGGTCTCAATTCGGTTGTATTTTTTTATTTTTGCTACCTCATAACTCCTTCTCATAGCCATAGTACGTACGTGAGTTTATTTTAACTTCTACATTCTTGTACTCATTTGGATGTACTATGATATCGTAGAAATCCTTACATAAATCCGAATAAGACTGGCTATATTTTTTTAAAATAGTTAATTTCTGGCAGCGCAGTATTATTGTTTTGTTTGCGATGCAGTACATACATGTTTTATGCATTTTCGAATAAATGGTCACAATTCGAAATTTGTTTAATGAATCTCTTAATAATCAGTAGGGTTTATTCTTTTATGAGTTCTATGCTATATTGTGCGCATTGTAGCATGATGCGTACACAGTCTAAAAACTAGGCATAAATACCGATCCGATATGGAGTTAGGTTTGTTTGTTTGTAACTCTTTATTGTATATAAAAATCTTAAATTATAGAATACAGAATTCTTAAGAAAATAATAAGTACAATGCCGGACTTATCGTATATAAGAAATTTCTTCCAGTCAACCTTTGGGTGCTTGATAGAAATTATGTTTTAGTATTGTTTTTTCTCTCCCTTCGTAAGTAGCCGTTTTTTGTTCAAAATCTTAAACATAAATAACAATGTAAGAAAGAAAAAAGAAAGATAAAAAGAAATATTTTATTAAACTAAACTTTAAATATCATTAACTTGTCATTGTTTTATAATTTTACCGCCCATTTGGATAGCAATTTCAGTCAAGAATAAAGAAATTACTGTGTACCTAGCCTAACTCATTTTTTAGTCATAAGGGTTAAGAAAGCGTCCCACAAAATTAATTCCGTACTCTCCCAGATATGTACTCTTGACTGTTTTATTGTGTACACCTTCCTTACAAAAATAAACAGCTATATTGATTTTTTAACTAGCTGCGCAACTTTGGCCAACTAGTAGTCGAAATTAAATTAATTTATAACAAGATTAGTTGATACTGATACCATTATAAGATTTTTTCATTAACATAATTATCCAATTAACAAAGACCTTTACGTTCTATGTGATTTCATACAATGGAGAGGTCAAACTACGAGTATATATCTGAATCCCCTTAACTGACTCCGCTAAAAATTACACCATTCTCTAATGTAATGTAAACATCTATTGATCTGTAAAATTTCATTAAAAGCTACACAGTCATTATCTAGTAAACAAAAGACAGATATCTATTCTAAAATTTTTTTTTTTTTATACAACTTGGAATGGCAAACAAGCTGACGGCCTACCTGATGGAAAGTGGTAACCGTCGCCTATAGACATGAGCAGTATCATGGACATAACAGAGTATACTGTTTCGCCCATGATACCCCCCATGCGTTGCCATTCCTGAGGACTCAGGTGTTATTTCTCTGTACCCTGTAAATTCACTGCCATATCCCATCCTTCAAACTGAAACACAGTCATGCAAACACAACTGCTTCACGGTTGAAACACGAATGGGACAGAGGTACACAAGCAATCGACTTTTGTACAAAGTCTCCCTCTGGTGACCCGGTCGCTTTGTTCGGATTCTATAACTTATCCCCGACTTCCTTAGGTAATTTCTCAAAAATTCTCACATTACGACCTTCATGATTATATTATAACATAGATATATAAAAATGGGTCATATTTTATACGTAATAAGTACTGTGATATATCTAATAGCTACTTTTATCTGTTGTATTTATTTACTGATAAACAAATGGGGCAAAGTATGGTACAGATTATGCAAATAGTCAAAGATCACGTATAGTTTTATTTACTTTAAGTTCGTTATCAATAAATACATAAATGAAACAAATAATAAACTAGTGTGGAGTACACTATACAAATATAAATTATTATTATACATTTACGTGACCATATTTACATATATGGGTATATTGTCCTTACCGATATTATAAATGTGAAAGTAAAATTGTTTGTTATCACTGATTATCGAACCATTATGAATATTTATTTATTTATTTAAAGAAACACCAACAGCATATTGCATTGTAACACATATAACAAACATCAAATACAATACAATATTAATGCACATGCCTTTTAAAGGTATTCACAGCATTTGGTTTACATAATTATACAGTACTAGCGGCCTGGTACGTGTTTCGCTACGTATAAAGTGGAATAAATAAAAATAAAATAAAATAAATAAAAAAATTAAATGACCGCATGACATAACAACATGCTTGTACTGTCTACATTGAAAAAGTTCCAATTTGACAGCACAATCCCCAACTTAAAAAAAAGTTTGAATTTGACCCAAATATCCCCATTAACAAAATGATCCACCATTTATTGAATTCATTTGTTACAAAAAAATTTATAAATGAAAAACCGCTGGACCGATTTTGTGCAAACTTCACGTAAACCATCTACTAAATAGTCCGAATAAAGTGTAAACATTTGGTTTGGATAGGTGAGCCCGTTCTTGAGTTATAAAATTACAACGAAAAATGGCATTAAGTTTTATATATATAGATGAAATAAAGTAAACAATTTCAAGGAATTAAATAATATTAGACTACAAATATTTTAAAAGTAAAATTATTATGAAAATGAGTAAACACGTACTATATGTAATGAAGAAGGATATAGACTACTTATTATCCCGGTCACACGGGCGAAGTTGTAGGCAAAAGCTAGTAGTGAATAAATTACTATTTCTTAATTCCAATATGTGCCCTGTTCGCCATTAAAACATAATTAAATATGGTAAATTTTAAATATAAACTTTTGAAACAAATTTAAACTTTACGTCTTTATTTTGCAAATTCATAAATATAGGATTTATAACGATATTAGCTTTTACCCGTGACTTCGTCCGTGTGACTGGGATAGGTTTAAATTAAATTTTTCATTGTTCCGTTTTATTATTATTTCTATTCTTGTAAGTAATTTTAATCGACATCGAAGTTCATAATAAAACTATATAAATATATAAACAATATAATATGAAAATTAAATTTTCCTAATATTTCCAACAATTTTCCTTGATAAATAAATAAGTGTAGAACTGTCAAAGTATTATGTTATTGCAATACTGCCTAATATTCTATTCAGTTTTCAGAACGAGCGTGCCTGGGCGGGCGGGAGCAGGAGTGGGGGGCGGGGAGCGTTATTCGCCCGGTACACCTCGGCAAGCCTTCAGTCTGCCTCCGACCGTTCTGGCGAGTTCGTGCCGCTCGCCCCGCCCATCGGACTCGCTACAACCGCGTGCCGCTGAAAAAGAAGCAATTTTCTCAATTAAACCGCGGGTGAAAACCTCCTTGGCGTTTGTGTTTTGTTTTCCGTGTCCTGTGACGTCACAGCCGCACCTGACTGGCTTGTTTTGGTAGCTTCGCGCGTCAATACCGCCCCTCGTAACACGATCACATCGAGGCTTAATAGACAAAAAAATTTCAACTACAGTAAGTACACGTTTATTATTATTATTGCCGTTTTTCATTTTATGTTTTATTTATACTTCTTTAGACATCGAATTTTTTATTACTTCAATCCTATAGATTTACTTTAAACAAGGAATGAAAAAATAAATCGACCCCAGCTCCCGGTCAGCTGTTTTGAGAAGACAATTGTCAAGTATTGCCAGCAATAGTCTACGATGTAATTTTAAAGGAAGTTCCCCGATGAGCGTATCTAATTTGTTATTGGAGTTTCCTACAGCAAATTTTATATAATTGGTTTCCAATATACGTTATATAATTCATCATTATTTTAATTATAATAAGGAACATTTTTTTCTATTTGACGTTCTTTAAATTAAATATAAATCCTTGTATTTATATATGTATTTCTAAACGCTAAATACATTTAATAGATCGCCAATTAACGTATAAAGCATTTACGTGTTTGAGATTACATGTCAAAATAGTTATAAATTGTAGCACATTTATTAATAAAGGGAAATAATTTTAATTATAATCTATATAATATAAAAAAGTGGTGAGAAAGGGTTTGTTAGTAATGGGTTCTAACAGCCTCTTTGCTATTGCTAGCAATATACTATCAGGTCGACCTTAACGCGGTTCCCCTTGAAAATCATCGTGGTCAATTCTTGTCGAATTCTTCACGATGGGCCGACTGTTCTGCCTTCATCCCCATCTATCATCTATCACTGGTAGCCCGCCAGCATATACTAATAACGTACCATCCCATTTTCACACATTAAAAAAAATTATAAAGTGAACAATATTGTTTATTTCAACGCTGTCATATCTGATACTACCAGTCGGATTTCAAAAACTAATTTTGCATTTGGTAGCTCACTTCTTGAAGAACATTTATTTATTTATTTATTTATTCTTTATTGCACAGTAAAATTTTGTACAAATGGCGAGCTTAATGCCATATGGCATTCTCTACCAGCTAACCATTGGGTAAAAACAGAAAGCGTATGAAGGGCAGATGTGGTGAAAAATATGTGACAATTATAGTAACACATTAAGGCAATACACAATATAAATATAATATACACATAAGATTACATTATACGCTATAGGCTATTCAAGATCATAATACGACTATAAGAAACGCAATGGGATATAACTAGTTATTTACATATATATTGTTTATTATACACGGAAATATATTAATACTAATTAAAAAATAATGTAAACAAAGATCAGTTTATGTGTAAAATAGATCTCATCCAATGTAAGCTCTTTTACAGATAAATGAACCCATTAGGAATTTTTACCTTATTTAACTCCTTAATTACTAACAATCTATTAATGATCCGCTATTGAACACAGATGTCTGTCCATCGAGGCTCTATTAATATCATACTAGTCAGGCAACATGTAAAAGGGTTTATTTCGATTTTCCTCGTTCTTTTGTACATATAGTTATGTAGCCTTACTAATTACTGCTTACGACGTTCGAGGGTGAAAAGGAGTAGTTAAACATAGTTCATACAATGAAAATGTATGCTTACTTGCAAAAATAATGCCTACGATTCTTTCTAATCCTGTAAATTTTTGGTATTTATTTACAGATTATAATAAATCTATTGCTTTAAATACTAAATAACGAATAAATGGGATTAGGGATATCACATACAAATCATCTACATACATTTGTATATTTAGTTTTTAATGGACGTAATAAGTTTAAACAGTTATTTAGATAATTGTCCGCAATTGGACGTGTTTGTTTCCAACTTGCTTGTTTCGACGGATGACCACAAAGTGTTTGTGTTCAGAAATTTAAGATATAAATGTTTTTATTGTTATGTTGTGATTTAAATGTGATTAATATAATTTTATTTAATTATACATATGTGTTACTGTACTGATGCTTTCCTGGGTGAACGTATTGGGTAACTGTAAAGTTCACTCAGTTGATGAAATAAATAAATAATACCATTTTCAACCAATCTCAAAAAAGGAAGATCTCAATTCGGTTGTATTTTTTTTATATTTTTTACCTCTTAACTCCGTTAATCTTAGTCTTTTTTTATCTAAAAGGCTATATTTATAGATTGGTTTTAATAGAAACTTTACAAAAATCGATTTAGTCGTTTTGTTTTAAATCAAAATGGCTAGTTTTGCCATAATTGAAGTCGATTTTTGTGAAATATAATATTAAATTATTTTTATTGTAAAATAATACAATAAGCCATCGTATAGTGAACTAATTTGGTTACATGAATACCTTCAGTGGTCATAAATTGGATTCCAGGCAATTCCAATGTTTACAACAACGATTGTAATCGATTATATTACCCCACCTCGTAGTACAGTTGTGACGTCAGCAGTTAAGGAATAAAATAACAAGAAAACAATAAATATAATATAAAGCATATTTATTTAATTTTTTGGTTATTACTACTTGCAATCTGCCCCGGCTTCGCACGTGTTCAGTTTTTAAATATATATATATATATATATATATATATATATATATATATATATATATTAACGTGTAGGCGTAATAATATATATATATATATATATATATATATATATATATATATATATATATATATATATATATATATATATATATATATGTAGTAAGCAGAATGAAGGGCATCCTAGACAAATCTCAATGATTTTTGGTATGCTTATTTATTAATTTGAATTGTGAAAAAGTGAAAATAAATAAATAAATAAATTTACTTATTTAAAAAGTTTATTGTACTCACATAATGTAAAAAAACTAAGAGACAATGAAATTTGTATCAAAATTCGAAACGTAGTAAAAATAAAAGTGCGAGATAATGGGCACACCCGGATAGTAACTTAGGGCTATTATTATTCAAAATAACGTAGGTAATTTCTAAATAAATAAATATATTCGAATATTTGTAAAAAGAAATATTATTAATCTTTTTATATCCTATGTAAAATTATAATAAAAATAGATACATTATATCATTCTCTCAATCATTGTTTGTTAAATGAAGCTTGATATGGTTATTTGTGACATATGATCTCATTCTTATATGCAATCGTCATCATCATTTTAAAATTGATATGAGAATTCTATAACATATATACATACATATCTATCACGCCTGTCTCCCATTAGGGTAGGCAGAAACAATACAACGCCAAATGCCGAACGCCAATTCTATAACGTCTCGATATATTTGTATATACCCCCTGCAGAATCTATTCGTCGGATATAACCAAAGAAAGGAACTCGAAAACAAATTAATTTTCAACCGACATAAAAAAAGGTCTCAGTTTGGTTATATTTTTATTATGTATGGTTCTTCGTATCTCTATTATTATTTTTATTATTCTATTTTTGTTATTTTATGTTACATGCCGATTTAGAAAATTATTTTTCTTTCAAAATAAATAGCTTACAATTAAAGTAGATTTTTTTTTGTTGAATACAATCTTACTTTACATATATTACACGAAAAACTTATCTTCCTTCATTCAATAATTAAATCGCACAAAAATACAGACAAATAGAGAATTTCCTCCTTTTTTAATTTTGAAGTTGGCTAAAAATTATATTCATTTTTTTATTTTTAAAGTAAAGAAGGTCCGACTTACATAACTAAGGAACCGCAGATGTAAGGCAACTTACCTATATCATTCGTTCTGTATATGCTTGTTATTTGTTATGTTATCTTAGATAACCAATCTCAATAACAAAAGAAAATAGTAGATTATTACAACTATATATCATATTAGATGTTTAAACTTCAAGTCTTTTTAGTTTACCACTTATCTACAGTGTTTTCTTATCTATATCCAAGTGTTGTCTTATTACGTCCTGCCTTAGAATCTATTTTACAACGAATTTATTTCAATAAAAATAAAAAAATATATAAACAAATAAATAATTCAAAAATCATTTATTCATGAGCATTTTAGCCGACCAAAAATTTTATATTTACAGTCTTCGCTGTTGTCTCTCTCTTTTTTACATATATTTATATAGAGTCTAACATTAAATGAAAATTCCTGAACAACTATTGTCACACTCGGTGCAACTAATACATGCATTTTCTTCAAGCCAGCTTTATCGTATGCCATATCTTTGACCTCCCTGTACCAAATCACACCTAATATTCCCTTTATCTGTCTAATGTAGACAACATTAACATTAAGACAACATACGAATCAAAAATAGATTAATTGGTGGAAAACTTCAGTTTATTGCCAATTTAAGAGAGTATTTTTGTGATAATTTCAACAAAATTTTATTACTTTTTCATTCAAATCTATTTAAATAGACTAAAAATGATTTCATACTGTAAGGTTTCGTTGGAATTTCCTCTAGGGAATACTCCGATCGTGGAATGAGCTTCCTGCCGAGGTTGTCTCTAAAGGTTGGAGGAGTTCTTCAAATAGGGCGTAATATGGTTTCTTAAAGATAAGCTAGGTATTTAAATGTTGCGATAATTATTTACCATTAAACAGGCTGTATACATATTTGCCACTATTGTGGTAAAAAAAAATGTTTATTGCCCATAAATAACATTACTGATCACCATTATCATCATCATATCAGCTTTTACCGGTCCACTGCCGGATATAAGCCTCTTCTTAGGAGGATTTTGTTAGTCCACACTTGTCAGGTGGATTGACAACCCTAGTTACGCTTTGGAGATGTTTTAAAAGGGACGCCGCTGCCTATCCCTCGCCCTTTCTTAGTAGCCTCTTACGAAAAGAAAGGGGTGGCCTATTCTGGGTCTCGATCACACGGAAAAATATATGCCATAATAAATATTACTGTATAATTACACTGTGTCAACTAATGGATATACCTACAATTAATATTCATATATAACTATAGGAATTTTATAAAGTTACCTAAAAAAAACTAGCTACACAAGTTTTTTCTTTTTAAATATCGTTTCTGAAAAAAAATATTGCGGAAGTATATTCTCCGTTTTCTTCTGTGCAATTTCTACAAACGACTGAGTTTACTTCTGCGTTGATTT